GTAAAGAAAATAAATACGAAAACCGCCTACTTTCTTCCCTCGTTCGTGAATTTATCAAGCTATCTGAAATGCGGCGCGCATGCTCTTACGAAAGAGAGAGAAAAAGAAAAAAATAGATAGAAAAATGGAGATATACGTTTCGGTATGAGCGTGTTATACATGTGGAAAAAGAATCCTTGGTCGCGTGTTCAGCATTACTTGGGCTAAGCCGACGAGATTTATGCCATAAGCTACAAGATGACTTCGTCAGAGGAGAGCTCATCCTTACAACGAAATCGATATGATATTTTTCTCCGTGTATTCGCACACCTGTTTTTTACTTTTCTCATCTTATCTTCGAAATTGATTCGATCGTTTCTCCTCTCCTTTTATCTTTCGTAAAATTCGTTCGATAAAGTAAAAAAATATATATACACGCGACAAGATAAAAAAAAGCATACATGACATTTAAAGGAATTTCGATTTGCATAAACATTCTATTACGTAATATAAAAATACGATCGTGATCTTCCATTGAATTCGATTCGATTCGGCGAAAATTCTTCCCGAAAAAGCAGCAAACATTCTCGGCGGAGGGAGGAAAGAAAGAAAGAAAAAAAAAAGATGTACGTCGAGAAAGGGAGCACCATTAACATTTGCCATTTCGGTCACGATTTTTTCTTTGTGGAACTTTACGAGGACACACTAAGCCGAGCAAGGAACCGTTTCATTGTGTAAACGTGTACGTATAATAAAAAGGTTGCAAAGGTCAGCGTATACATTCTCGAAAGAAACTCGGTCCCCTTTGTGAATGGAAGAATCAACGAGAGTGAGTGAGCTAGGGAAACAGAGATAGAAGAGAAAAATTTTCCAGACGCCAGAAAAATGTCCTCAACAATCTGCAAGCAGGTGTCGAGAATGGGACCTGCGCTTTCGAACGAATACGCTTCGATGCAACCTAGTGTGCTCTGCACACGTGTGTGTACGCCCCCCCCCTCCCCTTCCCTCTCCCTGTTAGAATCGTTCGCATCCCGCCGAGAGGAGAAGTTAATACGACGGTATTTTTGTCCAAAGTGCAAGGAGACATTTTTCTCCCTTCCCCCTCCCTCCCCTCCCCCCTCGTGGAACGAAGAGGGAAAGAAATTTGGACGTAAATCTCCAATTATTTCCAACGAGAAGAATTCCAGATCGAAATGGACGCGACAGCTCTTTTCCTCCTATATCCCCCATTGAGGAATTAATCACGGGGTATACGCGATAAAAATGCAAGGTTAACATCATTGTGTGGGATAGATAAGAAGCACGCGGCTCGTTTCGATCGCACGCACACAAACGCCGCCTAGAAACTATCTTTAATTACGTCCGTAACGGCACGGCCAGATCGAGTCGTGACGTACGCTCCTCTCTTCTTATTACATTTGTCATTTGGGTCACGTATTTTATTTCTAATTTGATAAACCCCTAAGTAATTTTAAATAATATTTTAACTTAATACGATTAGCGAGAGGGATTGTGAAATGTACACGATTGAATTTCGAAGAGAAATAACAAAAGGATGGAAATATAATTATATACGAGATTCTATATACGATTTGAGAATGAAATTGTGAAATCGTTCGCGATTAAGTCTCGAAGATGTATTTAGGGAAAGATTAATCCTTGTGTTAATAATTATTTCGATAATTTTCCGATTTCAATAATTTTCAGCGAACAAATTCTATATTTGGAGCATAAGATAGATATACGAGTGTGTCAAACAACGAGGATTCATCTTTGACCGATCTATCTTTGAAAAATCTTTTCACAAAAATAAGATTTTAATTATATCTTGAACAAAGTACGTAAAATGCTTAGATATTCAAAACGTTGAAACATAAAGTTTAAAAGTTCGAAATAAATCTAAATACTAACGAAATCAAGTAGAGTTTTTACAAAAAAATATTCACGATTGAATACGAAGAGATTAATAAAAAAAAATATTGTACCACAACGAAAGATGAAAAGTCGAATAAGGCCATTGGATCCGCTACGTCACGCATAACGCGATAAATGCTAAAACTACGACCTTCGAACGCAGAAACGATACGGTTAATAATTCAATAATTTCGCAGACTCTCGGTTACAACATTTTATGGCTCTTTGCTGGCTTGCACGTGAACATCCTTGGATGCGCGGGAGAGGAAGAAGGCAGAACACGAGGAACAAGTAACGAGGTTACCGGAACGTCCCACAATTAATTTGCTTGCAAACGGTTACGCTCTGCGAATAATTATTCAAAGTTCTAGCTTCTGCTTGTGCAAAGTGCAACTACTTAAAGGGTTGAACGATTCATCGACGACAACGTTAAAATGTAAAAGATGGGACGAGACCACGTTTTAATCAACCTTAGCAATCGTCTGACGAAAAACGTTCCCTCTCTCATCAATAATTAAAAAATTAATTCATACCGTTCGATTATTTGTTTCTAAACGGAACAAATTTTAATCAATTCGATAATACGTTCTCAAAATTTGTACATCGATGATCTATTAATATGTTATCGCATTTGATAAATATTTTTTAAAAAAGAACAAATTTCGATCTAATACGTTTTCAAAATTTGTACCGTTCGACTATATATTTTATCGAGTATTATAAATTATTAATATTTTATTTTATCGTTCTCGTTAAAATTATATTTCGATCGTGCTCGAGAATGAACGAACGAACACTTTTTCCCTCCAACGAAAGTCGAATAACAATGCTCCGCGACGCTTCACATTCGACAGGCTCGAAAGTTAATCGATGTCGATTAAAGAGCACGCGGGCTTCATTAAAATACAATTAAAAAGAAAGTATCGTCGTCGGTTTTAATAGTTTAACTGCGTCTAACGATCGTGTCCCGCTCGTCGTTAAAACTTGCTCGATCGCACGAAACGTTGCGATAAAAGTGGAAAAAAAAAAGAAAAAAAAAGAAGAAGCGAGTACCATCCGCGACATGGTTTCCGCGCAATTCTCTGTATTTAAAGTAGTTACGTATTAAAAGTTCCCTTTATATTTAATTACATATTCCAGAATTCCGGTCCGCGTATCGCGGGACCCTTCAATTTCATCTCATTTCTATGCAAGCTTTTCAAACATCCACGCGAACCCGGCCTTATTCATCGGAACACTGGGCGCCCTTATCTTTTTGCACGCTTTACGCTTTAATGAAAATTTTCTACTATGCCGAAATTTTCTCCAGATATTCGATTATTCGTTTTAACGATACACTTTTACGGTAATTGTTCCAACGATATGAACCACGATACGTATATTCCGTGAATCGCTTTTAATTTTATTTCCATTATATTCTATATATTCTTAAACAGGTAATACGAATAGAATTTCAATGAGATTGATTAAATGTGTATGAGAGAACGTATTGACAATCGAGGATCTTGAAGAAAAAAGGAAACAAAATCATTTTTTGACAGTCGTTTGATTATTACGAGTATTTGAAAAAAAATTTATATTGTTACAATTTCTACTTTTATTGATTTACACATTTAATATATTTAGTAAAATTCTATATTGTGTAATTTAAGTGTGCGAATGCGAATGTGAATGTGTAAGTAATATTTTGTTAATAAAACAATAAATTGTGAAATGTAATTATATTTTTCACATTTTAAAAATCATTCATTAATAAAATTTATAAATGATCCATCAACTGAATAATTAGTAATTATTATGTGAAAATATATCTTTTTTAATGTTAAATCAAAGCAATAATTTTATAATTTCAAGCAATTTTTTTTTTTAATTCTTAATTTGTATTGTCTTGTTACAAGGTCTTCAATTCAATCGTCATCGGTGACATTGTACTTGTCAATAATAATTCTTTTGATAAAGGAATGATGTAAGACGTAAATATAACAACGAAGAAAAGCGGCTGAGACGGCAGCAACGACTTTTCGAAGTTTCGCTTTCTCAGCGGAACATTCTTTCCCCGATAAGATAATATTTCCGCGCGAAGAATTTTAAATAGCTCGTCGAACGGGAATCGACGTCTTTCGTCGTCACTTCGTATTGCACGATCAGATTAAAACTATTCGTTAATTGTGAAACGATAATGAAAAATCCAAATAGATTCATGATTAATAATACGTTAATGCTATATTCGTATTGTTGTAGACCAACTGTTATCTTTAATATTTATCTTTGCTAAAAATTCATTTGCAATTTAATCTATTCTATATATAATATAACGATATTAAAATATTATATCTAGAAATAATTCAGAAGATTTCATTTTGTCATTTCGAAAAAGTCATTTAGTCATTCAAATTCCTATTGTTTGAAATACTAATAAGACGAATAAATAAAGGCGTCATCAATTGGAGTCTAAAGAAAAACAAAACAAGATTGAAATTCTTCGAAACAATAACCTGCCAAAATACTTGAGGAAAATTTGTTTGCAAACAGTTACTTTATCAGAACTCACGAAAGAAAAGTCATCGGCGTGGAATTTCTAACAGTCGCCAAATATTCGAGACTTGAGATATAATAACTGCCAAGAATCGCGTTGAAACCAATCTACACTTCAAAACAGATACTTAATTTCATAATTATTATTCGAGATATTGATTATATCCTATAAACGGTTAACAACGATTTTGAATCGATCGAACATTGTCGAAACGGTTAGAAAACGTTCTGAAGCTAACTTCAAATGCATCGATGTTTTTCGAAGATTTATATCGCAATGAAACACGAACGAAACGCGAGTTTATCGATTATGCAGTTATCCGGGAATTCTTTTGATTCGTAATTATATCACAACGAATCTCGGATATCGACAAATTATCAAAATTTTCGTATGAAAACGAATTGAAATAAACTAAATAAAAGATCGAAAATAATGAGAAAAAATAACGAAATAATTATCGAATGAAAAACAGATGTCACTCGCGATATTGACAGGATTGGGACACATATCGATTGTAATCACGAAATATAGTAATATTTAGTAATATTTAATATAATATTTTGGTACTTACATAAATTGTGAGCCGCAATGTTGCGCTCCGTCGGCAAGTCGCAGAGTAGTGTATAGTATATCCAATAATCCACAAAGAATAGCGTAGTACTGCACTGATAAAACTTTCACTTTATGCTTTTCTTTTTCTTTTACTTGCCAAATAATCGGCTTTTCTTTCAAATCACTGATTTGAATCACACTTAAAACAGTCGCACCACTTGGAGGTTTGAACAAACACACCTCACGAAACACCACAAAACAATACGAAATTGAATCAATGAAGAGTACTCGATGCAGAAGTTGCTGGTTGAATAGCACCGGTTTCCAATGTTTGTGCGTACGTGTATAATCGCCTGGTTACGTATCCGAACGAAGAAACTCCTTACTGTAAAAGCACGAACGTTATTTTCGATCACACTGCTAAGATAGCTGAACGAGAACTGACGTGTTCGCGGAACAGGCGCGCGCTTTGCTCCGTGAACTTGGTCAAGTCGAAAGAAATCGACTCTCGCAACGAATCGAATCGTATCGAATCGAGTCGTTTGGTATTATCGAAACGAACTGCGTCGAAAGCGCGAAAATCGCGCGAACCACACTCCGAAATCGGTGTATCGCACATGAAAGACGGGAAAGCAATGCGGCACGAAATTCACAAAGAGGCACTGCTAACGAGACGAAAATGACCGATCGGCCGATCCGATGGAACACGAGCACACACGAGAACGCGACTACCGATGATCGAAGATTCTCGCTTGCAACCGACAAACGAGAAGGACAGAAACCGAAGACGGATTACGTATAGAGCGCACGCGCACGTTCTAACGCGCTTTCGTTACGTAAAAGAAGTGCGCGTTGGTTAAACGTCACCACATCAGGATGGTACACACTACGCGGCTTCGTATAAAAGGTATAGAGAGAAGTAGTCGGAGAACCAGGTATATTTTACCGCGGACGCGAAAGGCACCGTGTGCTAACCTACTTCTCCTTCCGTTGACTGAAACTCTTCGCACCAACAACGATGACGACGACAACGACAACGTCGAGACCCACACGGCACGGTACACGCGGCTCGTTGTCTCTCCTCTCCTCCGCACGCGCGGTCCCTCGCTTCTTCGACTTCGCTGTTTGTGTCACCGCGACACCACGAAACCAGAAAACAAACAACTGCCGTCGAGGACGCGTCTTGTTTGCAGGAAAGCTCGACTCTTTTTCACTGGGCGGAACTCGTTGTCGTTGCGGGGGAAAAGGGGGACACAGAGGGAGAACGAGGGACACACATACACACAGTGGCGCGCGCGCGCGTGCCCACGGGAGGGAATGAGAGAAAAAGAGAAGGAGAAAGAGAGAAAGAGAGAGAGACAGCGCGGCAGAACGACACAATCCGACTACGACGGAGGTCCGACTCGAACTGAGCGCCGAGCGGCTGATCGAGGCCGACGTCGGCCGACTCGGCCGAACCGAGGCGCTCGCCGATAGCGCGCTCCTTCCCTCCCTCCCTCCCTATCCCTCCTATACCGAATCCCTCCTGCCGCCCATCACTCCTCGTCCTAGCTTCACAGCCGCCACCCTCTTGCCTCTTGCTCTTCCCTCTCACAAACTCACGGGCCCTCTTTCCTCGCCGCGCCTCTCCTCTCTAGTCCGCACGTTTGGTCTCGCGTTCCCGCTCTTTCCCCTCTCAAACAAGCTCGACGTCGTGCCTCACCGCTCCCTCCCGCCGCGTCTCACCAAAGTTTCCGACACACCGGTAACTTATCGGAATTTACTCGTTACTTTGAATTCGTGAACGACCGCGTGCTCAACGATAATACCGTGCACAAGAATACGATAGATGTGGAATAGTATGCAGTAGCGCAATTTGAGAAAGCACTGTCGACGAATAATCGGTAAGTAAACGTCACTTTCGATTCTCGAAGCGTAATCGATTGTGCGATACAATTAATTATTGATCGAGAAAACGAATGCAAAATTACATAATTAATTATTGAATATTTAGCTATTTTTATATATATCATTTATTCATGAAAATGAGTTTTTCAGAATAATTATTCAAATTATTATTTTTTAAAATACTTTAAATATATACATGTATGTATCTACATATAATATTCTGAAACCATAACCTCTATCTGTCAAAATCACTAAGCACTGAATCGATGAATTGTAAAATTTTTATGATTGCCACGTATAATCTTATAACAATTACAATGAAAAAATTGTTATATTAAGGAAATCTGGAAAAAAATTCACTCACAAACACTAATTTTATACACATTTATACATTTATGTCTCATGCTTGCTTCAAAATAATACGATAAATGATACAAGACTGAAATAGATTATTACACGAATATATTAGAAATGTAGATATAAACAAAGAAGAGAAGTAAATAACAATACTGACAAAAATATATATTGGTATTATTATATTAAAGAGCAAATTATATAGATATTTTAACTTTTTTATTTTACAAATAATGTAATTATAAAAATAGATAAATAATAATTTATAGGTTATTCATAGAAGTAAATGTCATTTTTTACGAAGTATTGTATAAAGTTTATCTAAATTTGAGGAAAAATGTGCAATAGCTTTTGATAATCAATATTTTTTAAAATTCTTTTTTCTTAAAATAAAGATGTACATATAAATGTAAATTATATAAAATTGTAAACACAATATTGCAAGAATTTTTTAATTGAAACGCAATGTATACATATCTATGTACAAATATTCATATACAAAATATGAAATTGCAAAGTATAAAAATTATCGATTCGAGAAACATTGGAAACTTTCCAAAAAAAGAGATCATTACTTTACGGTGGTTCCTATTTGCTTCTGGAAACTATCCAGAAGATATATGGCGTTACCTTCTCGTGTAATATCATCAAAAGTCTCTCTTTAAAAACAGGCAAATAAAATTAACACCATTCTGTGGTTTTGTCAGTATACAAGTTGTTCACTTGTACGCAATAACGAGCAATTAAAAACATTACCGTGTTCATATTTTATCATATTTATCTCTGTAGGAAAAAAGCTTGGTGGTACTATTAAACGCAATGCCTTGAATTATATGGAATTCAAATTTACATACGATCTCATCGCGTTTCGCTTATTTTCGCGCGTGATAATCGCATCGAGATTGATAAATTATACGTTACATGCACGTGCAATTTTTTTTCCGCTATCATGGAAATCCGAAATATCTTGAATTTACGTGAATACATGAATTTTTTATAATCTACCATTGAATAGTCCTTGTACGTGTTTAGTCGCAACTTAAAACGTATATGCAAAGAATTTGCGAGCATTGTTCTTAAATAGCATTGACCAATTCGTTGCACGTCGTTCTTTGCTTGCAAAAGTGTTCACACTGCCAACGAACATAGTTTGCGAACTGTTCGAGAACAGTAATGTGAATCCAGCCTTACACCGATGTCCAACAAGTTGCCGACATCGAGCTAGTAAACAGAGAGCCACCGATAGAGAGTGCATAGCATTAATCACTGAGATCGTTCGTTGTCAGTATGGTATCATCCTCGATCCTATAGAAAGATTTTGAGAAATATTTGTCTAAAGAATGTTCGAATGATTTTACACTTTTCCAAAATGCAAATTTCACGCGCAAATTATCGATGGATACGCCATATCGCTTGTACGTAATGTCACTTACAAATGAGTCATTTCAGTTTAAACGTTTACGAGTTCATCTTAGTTTTGCAAATAAAACGAAAAACATCGCAGACATCGATTGTTTGATCAAACTGTAAATAATGAGATAAAAGAGGAAAAGATAAAAATAGGCATGTTGAAAAAATTATCTTAACGATGCATTTACATCTTTAATCTATGTCTTCATCGTATTACAATTAGCAAGTAGTTAATGTTCGTACATTATATACTGATATATCTACCGGAACGTTGAACTTGGCAAAGTTGCAAAGTTATCGGTAACTTCGAACAGAACGGCGATCAACTGAAGCCAATTACGGTGTTCGACGATGTAGCAACACGAATAAGCGACATACCTGAAAGAAGGGGGAAAAATCGGAAAGGAAAAGACGAAGAAAGAACGAACAGAGAATACGAAATCTAGGTCACGACCCAAATCATTCTCCTCCGGCCTCCGTTTGAATCTTTCGCAATGCATGAAAGTGCCCAAAGCGTTTCGAAAGCCCCCCACTCTACTGAGTACACGCTGTTTCGCTATGAGCTTTCCTCGTTTTCTCCAATTGAATCTCGAGCAAGGCTCGAATAAAACCGCATCATGTACTAGACATGCATTAGATATATTCCTTGTCGGAGCTTAACCGTAGATATTTCATGTACCGCATGGAATGTTCTTCATATCCTCGCAATACCGTACAACGCTTCTTACATTCTCAATATCTTATCCACTTTACTATTTCGTTCCATTAAACTGAATACACGTCATCATATTTCCATAATATTCCAAAATGATTATTATCTAATAAAATATTATATTAGCAATTTATATATCTATTAGCAATTGGATTATGAAAGTTGTGCGAGTCCATTTTTATAAAAAATTGAAAAAATAAATAATTAAGAATGAATTTATATTTTGAAATATCCTTATTTGATATGATCGATTGAAAATGTATTAATATATGTGAAACAATATTAATTTTCATAAAAAAATATTTGTATGAATTTGAATTTATATTAAAAACATTTGTACAATAAAATAATAATCGAACATCCTAGGGACTTTGGCAGTACAATGTTGTCAAATATGGCGGGTTATTGAACTGTACTTCTAATACAAAAAGTAATAATATAAATATTAACATAATAATGCACTTTATTAACAAAAAAAATATATATAATATACGCATATGCAAATAATATGTAAATATATTCATACGAAATAGAAATCGTAATTAGAGAATAATAAATAATTTCATAAAACATGATTATGATTAGAATTATGCATGTCAGATTATTAGATATACCGTATATTACTATACGTTGAAATTTTATTGTATATATAATGAATTCATAGAAAGCTGAACAAATTTAGCTTATCTTTAAATTAAAATACAATACAAATTTCTAAACGTCTCGATATAAAGATGGACACGACTTTTATATTACAACGTTACATTATAACTAATCGAAAGAAACTATTTCAAGAAAATAATTCGCCAATTTTCGTTCCGTTAAACTAACACGATCAGGGAAACGCATTCTTAAACGGGACCGATCGGAGCGGAAACACGTGTCCCCGGCTGTTTTTCAAATGAGGTCAGAGGAAATTTCTGCCGTCGACCTTGAAAGTGCACTTGATTCGCGAGCGCGTGCCTCGTAAACGCACAAGGCAACACGCGCGAGAAAGCTCCGGATACTCGTGGCGCGTGTTCAGAGACGTTCCGTCATTCGTTCGGCTCGGTCGCTCTTTCGATTTCTCGACGTCAGCCACGTTTATACGCACACGCGTATATGCAGCCAGCAACGATCCACGCGTGCATACGCCAGTGCCGTGCATTAGACGATTGCAACGTTGCCTGACGTGCCGCGCTGTATCGTACGCGTTGTTGCCAAGCCATCGGATTAACCGGCATTCCCATAGAACCATGCGAGTGCGCGCTCTCAGCCTTCGAACTTCGCGACTCCGCGAACCATCGAACGGATCGCATTTCGAATTTTCTCTTGCTCGTTAAGTACGTCGTTCGATCTTTTTATTCCTTGTACATTGCCACTTTAACGGGATTATATGTATTCCATTCGATTTGATCCGGATTCGTTCGCGAAAGCATTTTACGAAGAAACAGTATCACGAAGTAAATCGAAGTAAGTCAAGTGTGATACGATTTCGTGTTTTCTATTTGAATTCAAGAATTCTGTGTAAGAATATTTTGTTTGTAATTTTATTTTTATGATATGTAAATATATTCTTTTAAATTTTTCTTCATAATATATTAATTTAAAACATTTGTAATGGAAATTGAAAGAATTGGAGTTGATTGGAAATTTGTTGAATATTCAGACTGGTCTATTTAAGTCTTATGATAGGATAATTCAACCAGGTGAGAAGAAGTTAATTGAGCAACTATTTTTGAATTAAAAACATATAAGGAACCGATCTATAACAAATGGAAATAATAATAACGAATCTTGGAATGAATACTGCTGTACAAAAGATTATAATACAACAAAGGAAACGGATGATTAAATAAAGTATCGTGACTGTGAGTAGTGGTTACACAAAATCTGTGTAAAATATGGGAAATCGTTGGAATAATTGAAACAAAAAAATTCAAATTAAATATAAAATATAAAATATTGTTATAATAAATATGAAATTATATATCGGCTTTTTATAAAAAAAATCTATATATTCCGCATATTCTTCTGTAATGTTCAATTAAAACACACAATATATAGAATCAATTAATTGGATGAAATTATTTGGAAAAATTATTTTTTTTATTATATTGGACATTATGAAAAAAATCTTAACAATTTCTCCATCAATTGTCCACATTTTCCATTTTATTAAATCCTCGTATAATTTTAACACTAAATCAACACGTGTGATTCATTCTTCAGTTATAATTGAATCAAAATTTAATATGATTCAGTGAATAATGTCATGTTTAGCTATGATTCTTTGTTGAATTAACAGAAATATATCAATCAAAAGGTAACAATAAAATAGATGGATACGCGTAAAAGGATATATTGGATAATATATAATAGTTTGGTGTAGTGACGGTGCATGGGAATAGTGGCTGAATGCCAGTGCGCGTCTACCGTCGAGGGCCACGGTTGCGGCACTCAACCGTGCTAAATATACGTGTAACTCTAATAACTTTCGTAACAGTGTATTCCAATTTGTTTCTTTCGCTCGGCTATTCTTCCCCGTGTACATATTTCGTATTCCAT